GTCAAAGCCACATGCAACAAAAATTCCTTTGGCTAAAGAGACCTTTTAATTAATTAACAGACATTAATAAATAAAGAGACATTTTCTTCCAAAAAGCTCCACAAACCATCATTTTACCCTAAGAAAAGAAACTCATGTTTTTCAACTTCTTGTGACAAAAAAATATAAGAAAATAACCTGGAAATTTGATGAGAAAATAAGAAGTTCTCAGATTTTTTTTTTTTTTTTTTTTAAATGAGTATTTTTGTGACAGAAACTCTGGAATTTCAGGTGGTTCTTTCACCTGATGTAGAAGCACACGGGACCTACCAGGAAGGATGATCTCAGGGAACCCCATTTTTCGAGCCACTGCAGTGGATCTGTCTACAAGGTGGGAAAAATCCTTCTGAACCTGAGCCAGATCCCCAGGGAGCAGCTTCAGGGACACCCAGAGACCTGAGAAAAGGGAGATGACACTTGTTTACTGAAACCAAAAAATGAAATTTAAGCCTGTGCTTCCAAAAAAATCTGTATTTTCATAAAAACTCTGCGTCCCCATCTGGTTCTGTCTTGCCCAGTCCTCCATGTCCCTGAATCTGGGCAAGAAGATTCTTCAAAGTAAACCCCAAATTTTTAGAGATGAATTTCGAGTGTCTTTGAGCCAAGGAAGACCAGAAAATTCTGCAATAATGTGATTTAACCCCAAAGCCAATTGGGACACGCAGCCACGTCCACTTACAAATACTTCACGCCCATAAAACACTTTTTTTAAAAATTTATTTTTAAAGGTGCTAAAAAATATTGACCTTAAACATAAGACTAGCAAGTGAGGAGCTGGAGGAGCTGCTCTCATGCAAATCTGGATTTATCTGGATTTTAGGGGAGGAGGTGACAAAGGGACAAAGCGACAACCACGGCAAAGAACGAGCTGGGCTTGGGGAAGGGATTAAAGTGAATTAAAGCTGGAGCTGGAGACTTTCAGTGTGGACACACACATTGACAGAGCTGGGGAATCCCAGCT